GGCTTCCTGGAGGAGGTGATATTTGGATTGAGTCCTAAAGATCTAGTAGGTGCTGTCAGAGCAAGAAAAAAGGAATGGTAAAAAAAGAATATCAACAATAGGACCTTAAAGTATGATGTTTTAAAACTCCTGAGAAAAGCTACTGTTCTCAAATCCTTTCCAGAGGTAGTCAGCAATCTGTCACCTGGGGCCTTTTCTCCCTAGAAGGCTCTGGTGCCAGTGGCCTGCCCCTCTGTTTACTTTTCTGGGATGTGGCCCAGCCATAAAAAAGTGTGTATATCCTGCCTGCCCTTTGCTCCTGGGACCCATGACAACAACGCACAAGGTGGATCCAGCCCCACACTAGGCCCTGAAGAGCAGCAGGCACTTCCCTCTCTCCTCCTGCTGGTGGCCTGGGACACCAAGCAGCTTCCCCGAAGATGGTGGACGTCTAAGGCATGGGAGCAAGGTGGTGCCTGGAAAAGGACTATGGTTCCAAGATCAGAGGAAAAGGGTTGGTGTGACGGTGGTTGGCAGTGAGTGGATATAGTTTTCTGATCTTCAGAAATATTTGCTGTGTGACCCTGGCTTAACTTCTTCCCCTCTCTGGGCCTCATTTCCCCATCTGTAAAACTGAGGAATTTGCTTACCAAAAGGAAATATGACTCAGGTCCAGTAAGTTTGGGAAGTCCTGAAGACTCGACCCTTCTGGGGGAGTCCCAGCGGCACGTTAACACATCAAAGGCTCTGACAAGCCCTATAGCAAAGAAACCCCTTGAATTTTCTTTAATCCAGCATTCTCCATGCTTTGCTACCCAGGAGCCCCCTACTAGTTCCTGCCAGCACCCCACTGCACACCACACACTCCACACTCCGGAGTGTGGGGATGCTGTGGCCTGGGAGGACTCGATGGGCAGCAGGCTCCAGTGCCAGATGGCCTGGCCTCCGGTTTACTGCCTCCCAGCTCAGACTTCAGGCAAGTCACTAAGCTTCTCTGAGCCTTGGCCGCCTCATTCATCAAATGGAAATAAAGTCCTTGAACCTATCTCAGAATTGTGTCTAGGGTAGGTGCTATGTTTTAGCCACCTGCTCACAGGCAGTCGCATCCCTGGTGCGTGATGCTGGCAGGCCTGCCCAATGTTCAAACTCCCCCCTCCCGCCCCCCAGTGCTGAGAGCAGATGCAGCCTGGGAGGTCTGAGGCAGGACAAGCCTGTCCCTAGCCACAGGAAAACCTCTGTCTGGCTGGAGGTCGGTGGCCAGGACTGGCAGGCTGGGTCAGCTGCGGCTGTTGCCCACATGGGAGGTCGGGGGGCCGGGTGGGGCCCACAAGTTGGTTGGTGATCACCTGTCAGTTGGTGTCTGAGCTCCAGGAAGAAGGAAATTTGATATCAAATGACTTCTAAGCAGTGTCATGGGCTGCCTTGTGAAGAGTGAGTTCCCTATCACTCAAGAGAGTTCCACCAGAGCCTGGGGTGTTATGGCTCAGGAAAGGGACCCTCCTTGTCCCGTCAGACCCTACAGCCCACCCAGTGCCTGAGAGGTATTCCAGCCTTCCTGCCAGAAACAGCTGCTGTGGCCTCTATCGTGAGTACGGCAATTTCATGCCATCCTCTCCCAGGTGGTGAGCCCTGAGCTGGTGCTGGAGACCGGGGGTCTGGACAAACGTCGGATACAGCTTGGCCTGGTCCTGGCCTCTAGCAAATCAGAAGCAGGCACAACAGCACGATATTTTGCAAGCAACTTCCCCTATGGCCCCTGATCCTGTGCCGAGAGCCACGGTCTGTGGAGGGGCCAATCCCACTGACTGCCAAGGGATCGCAGTGGGCAGGGCAGAGAGGGCCGCAGTTCAGCTCGAGGGGAAGATTCAGCCCAGCAGGAGGAACAGGGGAGGTCTCCTGCCGCCCAGGGTATGTGTGTGCATGCGTGTGTAATGTGTTATGATGGGGAGGGGTGAGCAGGAGGACTGCGGAGCTCCAAGGAAGCTGCCCCAGCTCTGGATGCACGGGGTGCGCAGGCCTCAGCCAGGGCGGCCTTGGAGGGCAATCCCATCCCAGAGCTGCTGCTCTGGAGCCACTTTCTCTGAATCATCCCAGATGGACCAACAGTTTGATTCCTCATCTCTCGGTCGCCGCTCGGTGGTGTAACAAAACACATGCTCGGCAACGATAAAGTCTGAACGTTTTAGCAAATTAAAAATGTTTATTTATACGCATTTAAAAATATCTCCCTATATAATAAAAGGAAGTACATTTTCATCTAACACTTTCCTTAAATCAGCACACATCTCCATTCTGGTTTGATGTGAGACCAGGAGAAACAGAGAGAGAGAGAGAGAGGTGGGAAGGTGGGGGAAGGGAGATAGATTATTTACTGGTTAGGATTCCTAAGTAGTTCTGCCCAGGAGTACCCAAAGTTGTTCTGGGATAAGGCAGAAGGAATGGCGTCAAATGTGCGTGGTGCCTGAACTCGTGGCCAGTTGTGTGATCATAAGACTGGGGCTTCAGTGGGCAGGGGGGCTTATGTGGACGATAGCTTCTGGAAGATGTTGCGGTTTTGTTTATTTGTTTGCAGACGACCAGACTTTTCCAACAAGGGCTGTGGTATTAGGGCAGAGGATGGCAGGAAGGGGAAGGTAGAACCTGAGTGGGCTCAGATTCCTGGATGTCGGAACTAACCCCACCTCTGCTTCATGCACTGATAGTGTAACTCTTTTTTTTTTTTTTAAGTCCTGCCTTTTCTGGCCCTCAGTTTCCCCATCTGAAAAGTGTGAGCCTGGACCCATTTGCACTCACAGCCCCAGTGACTGCCACTGATATTCAGGTTCAGTGGTCACCCCATGATGTGTTTGCTTCAAGAAGGTTAAAGGAAAGATTCAGTCCTCCCACGACCCCAAGACTGGCTCCTCCAAGGGCTGAGTCTGGGGAAAGCAGGTGCAACTGGGAAGGCGCCATAAAGAGGCCAGGCTCCCAGGGCTCTTGAGCAAATGCCTCCCCTCTATTCCCTCTTCCTGGGGTTCTCTGGACCTTCCACAGGGTCTAATGAAGCCCATGTGTCTAATGATGAGGTTGTTCAGCAAAGCTGCAGCCTGTCCTGTGACAGAAGTGGTGACAGGTCCTAGGGGAGAGGCAGGGGGTCCTGTCTGGGCCTTCTTGGATTCAGGAGCCATGGGCTTTTGCCCTCTCCCAAGCCCAGAGATTCTGCGTTCCATGTGACCTTGGGTATACGACTTCCCTCCTCTGAGATGATTTCCTAAGGTACAGAATGGGGCTGCAGAAACCGTCTTCCCAGGCTGTTGGAAAGAATTACAAATCCGATATTGGATATAAGCCTTCATCCAATGAACACAGTAGGGTTTCCTGAATGCTCCTTCCCTTCACATTCATGCCCAAAGGGCTCCTTCATCCTGCTTCTGGAGAGCCCCTGACCTGCCCTTTGAGGCCAGGCTTAAAGCAAGGAGCAGCTAGGTGGGGCCTTGGAAGGAGAGGCGGCTCCAGGACCCAGCCAGGCCCTTTACCCAGGCCTGTGCTTCAGTTTAAGCCCTTCTTGGCTCCTTCCAGGCTCCAGGGGTATGAGATACAGCAGGCTCTTATCCTCAACTCTCCCCAAAGGCTTCCCCATGTTGGTTAATGGTAGGGCAACACTATGATTTAGTGTCTGAACTGCGACACTTGTGGGTGAAAGGTGCATGATTTATAATAAATATGCTGGGTCCACTAGCATCTACCAGACCAATGGGTATGAACACCCCAGCTAATAATTTCCCCTCCTAGTCACAGGTTCACACAGACCCTCACAACATTTAGAGAGGTCGGTCAGACATGGCATCGCTGATGTAAATTCATTTTAGAGATGTAAAATTACAAAATTCCTGAGATCTTACTGCTGGCAGAGAGGACCCCAGGTGCTCATGATCTAAGTCACAAGCCATCACAACACACAGGGACAACTTGCCCTGTCTCTTCTTGCCCAAACCTCCTTGTATCTCTTTCATCCCAGCAAAAGGATAAATGTTCCACACCACGCAGAAGGTCCATGAGGCCTGACTGTCACTGGTGTCACTCACTAGCTCTGTGACCTTGAGCAAGGAACTTAACCTCTCTGACTTCAGTTTCCTCATCTGTAAAGTAGGGATGATGCCGTCTGTCTCTCCGGGTGGCTGTGTTGAGACAGTAAGACCTAGCCCGGGATCTGGCATAATAAATATTGGGCGCTTGGACGACTGACTACGAACCGGATTCATGGCCGCCGTTCCTTTGTGGCAGGAGTGGGCAACTCATAGTGTCAGCTGAGCCCTTCTACGTGCCAGGCCCTGTACTATGTGTTGCACAATCTCCCCTGATTCCTCACATCACGGTAAGGGACGTAAGATTCTTATCCCCATTTTCCAGATGAAAAGGCAGCTTTCACCTGGAAAAGCGCGGCGAGCTTGAGTCACATGGGCAAGGTCACACAGCAAAGAAGAGGAGGCACTGGATCGCTGGAACTCAGGACCCGTCCCTTGGTGTCCAGGCACGTGGCCTGCCTCTCATCGCCCAACTAGGGAAAGGGAGGCCCAGAGAGGGCAGGTTACCTGCCCAAGGTCACGCAGGAGACGGTGGCCGAGGCCTCCAGACCTCTGAGGGTTTCCGTCGCAGAACCCCCTCCTCCCGCGCTCGGGGCCCCTCCAATCCGCAGCTCTGCGTGCGGGGGCGCGCGCATCCCCCGGCTGTCCGTCCGTCAGCCAGTCTGTCTGGGTGTCTCCGCGGGCGCAGCCGTGCACCCCTCCCCAGGCTCGGGCGCTGCGCAGGGAGAAGCAGAGCGTTGGCAGCGCCCGGCCCGCGCCCCACGCCCCACGCCCCACGCCCGCAGCCGACAGACGGCAGCGCCTGCGCCCACGCCCGCGCCCCCCCGCAGCCGGTGCGCGGGAGCCGCCAGGGCAAAGTCGCGGCGGCCGGCCGGCGGCGCGATCTCAGGCTCCGTCGCTCGCTCTCTGCTCTCAGGGGAAGCCAAGCCGGGAAGCCCCGGCAACCCGCCCTCCAAAATGAAGAAGCTCCAGGGAGCTCACCAACGCAAGGTAGGGCAGGAAGACCCGGGCGCACACGGGGGCGGAGGCACACCTGAGAGAGGGGTGCAGGGGCCCGCCCCCATTCAGGCCCGGGGAGGGTGGGAGAGGGCACATGGACCGGCTCAGCGCTCTGGGGGAGGCCGGCAAGGAGGGGCGGGGTCACGGCCTGCAGAGGTGGAGTGGAGGGTGGCGACATGGCCTTCCCCATCTGGGGGTCGGGGTGTTGTGTGATGGGGCTGAGGTTCATTGGGCCAGGTCCTTCGAACAGGTGTCTGCAACCCCAGAAGGCATAGGGTAGGGGTGGCTGGGGCCAGGAGTCCGCCCCTTCCCAGTCCCCCACCCTGATTGGGGTTGGGGGTGTTAGAATAACTGAGCGCCAGCCTTGAGGGGCACTAATTTCGGGGGTGGGGGCGGGGAGCCTCTCTGGCCCTCAGCCGCGCGCTCTACACTGAAGCAACCTCCGAGAACCAGCAGGGGGACGATGTCTTTCCTGTCCGAGCTTTTGCCCTGCGGGGGCCGCCACCTGCTCCCTCCAACCAGCTTTAGCTTCCCTGCTAAGACCCCAGGCTGCCCGTCAGTAGGGCTGACTGGAGGCAAAGGCGGGGGAGGAAGGAAACGGGAGACCCAAGGGATATGGGGGTGGGGTGGAAGCTGGCATGAGAGAGGGGGCCAAATCTGTGTTTCTGGAGCCCCTCCCCACCCTTCCTGTGGGGTTAGACCTCCCAGCCTGCGGGGGAGTGGGGAGGGAGAGTATTGGGTCAAGTTTTCTGGCTTTTGGCTTAAAAGTACGAGTCCTAGACAAGGAGTCAGAACTCCTGGGCACTATTTCTGCAGATACCACTTACCCTGTGACTTTGGGCAAGTCCATTCTCTAAGCTGGACTGTCATTTGCCAATCCAGCTCCAGTATCAAGGCACCAAAGCAAGCCCCACTGTCCCTGAGTGGGGTTTGGGGGATGTAGTGACCCCACAGGGACTGGTAGATGTAGATGGGAGAGAGAGCTCACAGGGGCTGGTGTTATTGACCATCCCCTACCCCATTCAAGCCTTCTGCCCCTGAGCAGCTGGGCGTGGAGTGGCTAAGTGGGTCTTTTTATTCACTGCCTCGAATGACTTCTTGGGGCCATTTGTGGGTCTCTTGGGTCTTCTTGGGTCCTGCTTGCCATTCTTGTCCATTTTCTTACTCTCTCCTCTTTCCTCTCTCTCCCCACAAGAGCTCCTGCCCCTCACTGCCATGGTGCCACACGGTGTGTAAACAGCCATATTCTGTAAATCCTTATCTCGTGTAAGCCTCCAAAAATTCTAGGGGCTGGGTCTTGTTATCCCCATTTTATAGACAAGGGGAAACAGACATGGGGGTTGCAGTTTGCTGCTTTCCTAAAGATGGACTGAGTGACCCAGGGGCCCATAGGGCAGGGGTGGGGCCATCTGGCCTCAGTGTCCTCTCCCTTGGTCTCAAGGTAAAGGGGACAGGGAGGGAGGAAATGCCAGGTATCAGCAAAGGAGCCGTGTTGTTCAGAGATGAGCACTGGGCTGAAAGTCAGGGGTGTGGATTCTGGTCTTGCTCTGCCCTTAACTTGTTATTTGACCTTGGGCTCATCCCTTCCCCTCCTTGAAACTCAGTTTCCTTGTCTGCACAACAATGAAGTTGGACTCCAGATTTCTATTGTTTCTCTCATCCTGAAGAAGGTATGAGAGCCTTGGTTTGGGGCAGGCTAACCTCTCCCAGCACCTGTCACTGCTGGTGACCTACATCTGTTGGTGCCTAAAAGAGGGGGTGCAGGTCTGGCAAACTCAGGATTATGTTTCTGCATGACTCGGGATAGGCAGTGGGGGAATCGGGGGTGGGATCTTCACACCCAGGCGGAAGTGTGAAGCGACTCATTAAGCTTCCTTCCAACCCTGCCCCATTGACTGGGGTGCTTGTCTCCCAGCCAGTCGCATCCTGTCCGTGACGGCCTCCTGGGATTCACTCCATGGTGGGGTTGGGGGCTCCGGGTGGTCTTGGGATTGGCTCATCTTTGGAGGACCCAATCCCCTGTGCCTGGAGCAGGATCAGGCTTCCCTCTGATTGGGGGAGGAGGGGGCCAGGAGAGCTGGCAGCATCCTGCTCTTGGAACTCTTGTCACCATGGAAACAGAGAGCCAGGACTGCTCTGTGAGCAGAGAAAGGGCAGCAGCTTCTCAGGAGGGATCAGAGGAACCTCATTACTGGGCCCTCCTGCCAGCTGGCCTGAACAGGGCTGGGGGCTCACAGGGTGACCAGCCTGCCACACTACCCCGTTTCAGGGGTCAGTGTCAACAGGCTGGTCCTCCATTCCTCCCGGAGCTCACCTGGCAGGGAGTGATTCTAGGGGGCCAATGCTCACCCAGCTGGGAAGGAACCTCATGGAAAGCGGCATCAGAGGCTGGGGGTGGGTTTCAGATAGGTCTGGGGGCTGCCGCTACCCTCAGCCCAGGATGTCTGAGATCACTGCAAGCCCAATTACCGCAAGCCCACGTTCATTATCGCCAGTATCGCCATCACCCATAATAATGCCAGGCTGTCCTTGTTACCACTGCCCCTCTGGCCAATAGCCTGCCTAGGGCAGGATCGTTGCCATGGTCGCCACTGTGACAGAGAGCCAACCCAAGACTATTCCTTCATTCTGCCCCCCAAACTCACTGCCCAGACCCTGTCACTGTCCTGAGACACCTCCAGTCCTATGACACCTGCACTCTCCTTTCACTGTCTTTATCCCCGCAATGCTCATAGGACAAATTCCCCGCAAAGCCTCCTCTGCCACCACCCAATTTGTGTGTAGACACCTACTTGACTCATGTCAGGAAGGGCAGTTATAGGAGAAAAAAAAAATCTGATCAGTAGACAATCACCAAGTCTTTGTGCTAGGATCTGATCTGGTCTTCATCCACTGCCAAATGTCTTTAGGGGAGTCTCTGGTGAAGCTTTCCTCACAAACCATTAGAGCCAGAAGACGAACAGATAGACCTACATTTCTCTGAGTAAATCTCAGCATAGTAGCTTCTTAAAACCCTTTTCTTAAATAGAATTGCAGAATACTGTCTATTCTAGGCAGTCATTGTGGGTATTGGTGCATTAAAGGATCTGACAAGTCCTGCAGCAAAGAAAACTATTTTGCTTTGTTAACGTGGAGTCCCCCAAACTTCTTTGACTCAAGAATCCTTTTCTTGGGGTACCTGGGTGGCTCAGTGGTTTAAAGCCTCTGCCTTCGGCTCAGGTCATGATCCCAGGGTCCTGGGATCGAGCCCCGCATCAGGCTTTCTGCTCATCGGGGAGCCTGCTTCCTCCTCTCTCTCTCTGCCTGCCTCTCCACCTACTTGAGCGGATAAATACTACTGTGACCTACTGTCAAATAAATAAATAAAATCTTTAAAAAAAAAAAAAAAGAATCCTTTTCTTACATTGAGTACCTCTAAACACCATAAGGGATGTATTTTTGGAGACCCTGATTTATTCAACCCCCTCAGTGTAGAGATGGGGAACTGAGGCTCAGAAAACTCTTTTCTCCAGTCACACTATGAAGGGACACAGACATGGGAAGAGGATTGTAGTCTCTTGACACTCAGTCCAGAGGTATCACTGTTTTCTCATAACTATTCCCCAACAGAAGCAGGGGGTCCTTTCTCCTCTCTCAGAACCATGCCGTTATTAGACAGCTGGCCTTTTTTGCTTCACCATCCTTCTCTGTTATGGGTGTGAATTTTGGAGGCAAGTGGGAAGGGCGTGGCTGTCCTTCCTTGTGACCCATTCCAGGAGACGCTTTGGGGGAATCGCTCTCTGAATTTTAGATAGCTACCCTGGTATCTTTGGGATTCCTTGCAGACCCTCAGCTTGGGCAGCTCCTAGATGTACTAACTCATCCCCCCAGCCAGCATTTCAAGCAGTTGGAGGAGGGCCTCACTTTTCCAGCCCCAGTCTGGAGGGAGAAGGCCCAGTGGACTTCCCCACCCTCCCTGAATGGCACACAGGGATCTTAGGGACAGCTGGCTTCTCTTCCCCTCTGTGCCTGCATCTCTCCCGCAGTGACAAGAAGATTATGACTTTTGTGAGATAGATCCAAACTCAGTAGCCTCTTCCTGCTCATGAACTATATGATTCACAGTCCTCTGTAGGCCTCCTCGAGCCACCAGAGCATAAATCGAATTCCTCCCTCGGGGGAGGCCGTGTTCCCTCCAAGTCCTCTTCTTTCTGTGCTGAGGGCCCCCACTCCTTCTCCTGTCCTCCTGTTATTGTTTCTCCTAAAACCCTCCTGTCTGGCCACCTGCCCTGTAAATATGCTCTGAGCTATCTGTGTGTCTCTCAAAATACGGTGCCTGGAATGGAGTAGCCAAAAGGCCACCACTGGAGGCTGAAGATGTAGGCTTCGAGGCTGGGAATCTCCGGGCATGAGACCTCGCTCTCCACCCCTCAGCCTTATAAAACCTCGGGTGTGTCACGACTCCCCTCTGAGCCTCAGTGGGCCTCATGATTGAAACAGCACTTGGACAAGTTCTTAGCTCATAGGGTTGTTTTGAAAATGAAGTCAGGTAAAACATTTAGTGCACTGAGCATGTAATAAGAGCTCAAGATAAGGTAAATGTTATGAAGATCATTGTCATCGTCGTCATCAATCAAGGACCATCCCTTGATTTGACCTCTGTGTTCACCGAACAAAGATGAAGGTGGTTTTCTTAGCGCCCGAGCCACCTTGCAGGCCTCCTAAGTTTGTAACGACCAGCCACCCCAAGAAGCTCCTGCAAATATTAGCCCAGGTAAGAGCAGTGGATTTTCTCAACCCATAGAGTATCTCTGCATCAGCCCTGTTTGATTTCATCTTCTTATTTTGGGGGTGGAGTGGGCTGTGTCATGGTTCCAACCTGACCTCACCTCTTTGGTCTCTTTTACCGGTAGCCCATTACCCCAGACCTGCTGATGACCCCCAGTGACCAGGGTGATGTAGACCTGGACGTGGATTTCGCCGCGGACCGGGGCAACTGGACCGGCAAGCTGGACTTCCTGTTGTCCTGCATTGGCTACTGTGTGGGCCTGGGCAATGTCTGGCGTTTCCCCTACCGCGCCTACACCAACGGAGGAGGTACTGGCCAGAGGGCCTGCTGGAGGAGTATCTAGACTCGTAGGCCAAGGCTTGGGGAGGAGTGAGGTTTTAGCGGCCTTGGCCACCATCTCCTCTGTGGCCTTGAGCAGAATTCACTGAAAGCAGTGAACTGGGGCTGGGAGAAGACAGCTCTCTCTGCCTTGTCTTTTATCATCACCCAAATATCTCCCCCGAAGCCTGAGGATTTCTGGGGCTCTGAGTGATGGGCAGAGAAGTTGCCTCTGCTTCAGGACGGCAGGCTGTACCTGCCTGGCAGCAATCACCATGCTCTCACAGTTGTCCCCTACCCCCTCCTCCCCTACCCTCTCGGGGACCTCACCCCACCAGACCTTCCTGCTTGTGAATCTTTGGTCTGTCCTCCTCTCCTGGTTCCTTCTGTTCAGACTACAAATGCGAAGCCTGTCCCATCTTAAACAAATCCTCTATTGACCCTGCTTCACCATCAAGTCACTGTTCTGGGTCTCGTTCATGATAGCTGGGGTGAGCGCTCACCATCTGCCAGCCCCAGGCATTTAACCCTGATGACAACTCTCCTGGGCGGGCATGGTTGTCCTGATGTGACAACCGGGGCTTAGAGAGGCCAGGTTCCTTGTCCAAGGTCACCTGGTGGCCGACCCAACATTCCACCTCCAGGACTATCTTCTCCAGAGCCAGTGTGCTCCTGCCCACCCTTGAAGCCTCCTCCTGTCTTGGCCAGACTCGTGGAAGAGACACCTATTGGTGGAGTGGCAGAAATCCAAACAGGAGGGGATGGGGCGAGGACAAGATGAATTGCCGTGACCGGGAAGTGTGGGACTGGAGCCCGTCTCTGACACTCTAGGAACTCCTTAATGGCCACAGTTCTATGGGCTCTCCCTTTCCCTGGCTCCTAAATCTATTTTTCTCCCGGTGCTGACCTCCTTTTCTCCTGGGACAATGACTTCATCCCCAGAGCTCTTGTCTCTGAATGGGGCTATAGAGGACCACAGGGAAGGTCTCTAACTGGCCTGCCTTGGGACCCGAACCCCTGAAGGGGTGGGCTTGGCGGGGGCAGCTGGCGTGATGGACGGCCCTTCCGAAGCCCTACAGTGGTAGGCAGTCTTCTAAAGGAGCTGGCTGTCAATAGGGGAAGCAAATGGGGAAGAATATTGGGTACTTGGAACCAATGGTGGCAGCTAGAAGCACCCCAGGTGGCCTGGCAGAGAGGACCTGGGGAAGTAGACAGAGGTCAAATCCCAAGGGCATGCATTTCCTACTGAGGAGTTTGCACTTTCTCTGACAGGGAATTCACTCGTATATCCCTTCATTCCCTTAGTGTTTGCCCTGAGCCCAGCCCTGCCCTGGGCACCGGGGCTGCAGAGGTGAGTAAATCCCCACCAGCCCCCGCAGCCTCAGTGATCTGGTGTGAAAGGTCGTCCCCATCCGCAGGAGAGGCACTCCCTGGGGTCGCAGGTATCTGCCATCAGGGGAGGGGCTGGGCTTGAGCAGAGGAATCCATGCACCCACCCGCCGGAGACCCTCCCTGACTGCCCTCCCCCTCCGCTTAGGTGCCTTCCTCGTGCCCTACTTCCTCATGCTGGCCATCTGTGGCATCCCCCTCTTCTTCCTTGAGCTCTCTCTGGGCCAGTTCTCCAGCCTGGGACCCCTGGCCGTCTGGAAAATCAGCCCCCTCTTCAAAGGTGAGGCCTCCTAGTCCCCGCAGGGGCCAGGGCCCCGGGGAGACAGGGAGGCTGACCCCATCCCATGCCCCAGCCTCTAGGCAGAGACAGAAGCGAAGCCCAGAGAGGGGCTGGCTGCCGGAGGCTGCACAGCCTGGCCTCAGGAAGGCTTCACCTGAGGGCCGTGCCCTGTCCCTCATGCCCAGGTGCCGGCGCGGCCATGCTGCTCATCGTAGGCCTGGTGGCCATCTACTACAACATGATCATCGCCTACGTGCTCTTCTACCTCTTCGCCTCCCTCACCAGCCACCTGCCCTGGGAGCACTGTGGCAACTGGTGGAACACGGACCTCTGCCTCGAGCACAGAGGCTCCAAGGACGGCAACGGGGCCCTGCCCCTCAACCTCACGGGCACCGTCAGCCCCAGCGAGGAATACTGGAGGTCAGGCCACTGCCGGCCTGCAGCTGGTTGGGAGGGGCCCCAAGCTGCTGGGGGTGATGGGTGGGGGGACAAGAATGGGCCAGCGTCCCCAGGGGCTCAGTGTGCACCTGGAAGGCCGAGTCCAGGTGCTGGTGTTAGGTGGGCCCTGGGTTCTAATCCCAGCTCTTCACTCACCAGCCGTGAGACTTTACACAGTGTCCTTGGCTTCTGGGGCTTTGTCTGTGAAGTGGGTGTGGTCATGGCATTCGGAGGGTTGTTGTGAGGATTAAAGGAGGGAAAGTAGAGAATGTGCCACCAGCCTGTTGGGTAACCCAGCTCAGTAGAGGCTGGCTAATTGTAATTGTGATGGTGATGACACTGGTAAGAGTGACCTTGCTGGCCACAGCTTTCCCGCATGCCCGTGGAGTGTGGCAGGGTGACCTGAGGACCCTCAAATCTTTCTCTCCCCACAGCCGCTACGTCCTCCATATCCAAGGCAGCCAGGGCATTGGCAGTCCTGGGGAGATCCGCTGGAACCTCTGCCTCTGTCTGCTGCTGGCCTGGGTCATCGTGTTCCTCTGTATCCTCAAGGGGGTCAAGTCCTCCGGCAAGGTGAGGCCTGGGAGGTCCTAGAGGCCCGAGGGGCTGGGAGGTGGGAGGGCTTCCTGGAGGAGGCGGCAGGGCACGGACTGAATCGGAGAGGATGAACAGACATCAACGGGGCAGAGGTTGAGGGTAGGGGTGGGGAGTAGGCATCGGAGGCAATGCCTGAAGAAAGATGTGGAGGTAAGGATGGACGGTGGCCAGGCTGGTTCACCAGGCCGAAACCTTCCAAGGACAGGACCTACCGGTGACTCAGGTTTGTATCCTAACGAAGTGCTTGGCACTTTGAAAAGGTTCCTCATGGTGAATGTTTGGAAGGTGGGTCTGTGAGTCAGGATGGGGATGGGGCTTTGGGAATGTACCATGGCAGATAACCACACAGGGAGGGAGGGGTTGCATGAGCAGGGGGCGGGGGTGGGGAAAGGAAGGGGGAGACTCTCATCAGTCCTAGGCAAGCCCTCCAGGCAAAGGCCCAGGGTGGCCTGGAGCGGGGCGCAGCAGGGCTGGAGGGGGTGGGTGGGCTGGGGACGCCTTGGGAAGCAGCGACAGAACTTTAATGAGGGATCCATGTGTGGAGGGAGGGAGGGAGGCGGGGAGGGAAAGAGAAGCATCATGGATAATGGCTGTTCTCAGCTCAGCCTCCCCAAATATTGGGGAGGCGAGTGAGGTAAGATGGAGATTTCTGGAAGAGGAGCAGGGTGGAAGGAAGTTCACCCCTGCTTTCCATCCCCCTTTAAACACGTCTCAGGTGGTGTATTTCACGGCCACGTTCCCCTACCTCATTCTGCTCATGCTGCTGGTCCGAGGAGTCACCCTCCCAGGGGCGTGGAAGGGCATCCAATTCTATCTCACCCCCCAGTTCCACCACCTGCTGTCTTCCAAGGTGAGGCGCTTGGGGCTGGGGTGCTGAGGGAGGAGTCAGGACTGAGCCAGGGAGTAGAAGGAGGAGGGCTCCCTGGGGAAAAGAAGGGCAATGGTTAGGAATCCTCCCTGTGGAGGGTCCCCAGTACCAGACCTTGTGCTTGGCGCCGCACTCAACAGTGTATGTCCTTTTCATTTCTTATTCTTCACTATCCTACAAAGTAGACATTATTCTGGGGGCCCCAGCTGGCTCAGTTAGAGGAGGTGTGGTTCTTGATCTCAAGGTCATGAGTTTGAGCCCCACGTGGGGTGTAGAGATTACTATAATATATATATATAAATATATATAAATAAATAAATAAATAAAAGGTAGGCATTTTTCTCCCATTTTATAGATGAAGAAACTGAGGCCCGAAAGAGTGATAAGCTTAAGATCACACAGCTAAGGGGAGGCAGAGTTGGAATTCCAACCCACAGCTCTCTGATTCCAAACCCCAAAGAGGTCATTGGTAATGACAGAAACAGTGGTGCTGACAGCTGACATTTCTTACTTATTAATTGCCGACTGCCTGACCCCGCCCTGGCACTTTGCACATATGCAGTCATTAATTCTTACCACAACCCTATAAGGGAGCTAGTGTTCCTATCCTTGCATTACAGAGGTGGGACCCGAGGCTCAGAGAGGTGATGTGGCTTGCCTATGCCATACAGCCCCAAAATAGGGGAGCTGGAATCAAATCCCGGTCCCTCCAACTCCAGGGAGGAAGTAAAGGGGTTCCATGGGCTTGTTGTCAATACGGATCTACCGGAAATTTACATAAGACACTACTTCCTTCAGAATTGGACCAAGCATAGCCATCATCTAGATCCTGGATGGGGAAACTGAGGCCCAGAGAGGGAAAGGGACTTACCCAAGTCCCGCTGTGTAAGTGCTGGAACAGGGTTTGCTCCCGGCCCACATCACCTGGAGCCAGGCTCTCCACCACGCCATCCCTGGACCTGTGGACTAGCTCCCGCCCCACCTCCTCTCTCCTCTTTCCGTGGCCCTCTGGACAGGGCCTCGGTGTGCCAGCCCCTTCTCTCTGCTGTCCATCTGCATCCTTCCCTGCCACAGGTGTGGATCGAAGCTGCTCTTCAGATCTTCTACTCCCTGGGTGTGGGCTTCGGGGGTCTCCTCACCTTCGCCTCCTATAACACGTTTCACCAGAACATCTACAGGTCAGTGCAGCCTCCCAGACCCCGGGGCGGGAGTGGGGAGGAGAGTGGCCGACCAGGGCAGGCCCTGTTGTGGGGGCAGGGCCAGCTCACTCTGGCCTGCTCCTGTGCGCCTATACTCCCCCGGCAGAGACACCTTCATTGTCACTCTGGGCAATGCCATCACCAGCATCCTGGCTGGCTTCGCCATCTTCTCTGTGCTGGGCTACATGTCTCAGGAGCTGGGTGTGCCTGTGGACCAAGTAGCCAAAGCAGGTGGGCAGGCAGGCCAGCCTCGGGGTGGGGGGCGGGGGGTGGACAATGATGTGAATCAGTGTCTTGTGCCGGAGGACGAGTCCACGTCTGTGTGTTAGTGGGATTGTTTGTGTGGATGATGGTATACGGAAGTGTATTCAAATGAGGTTTTATATCGTCTTATGTTTCTTTCTGCACTCCTTATCAGTTCATTTATCTTGTCAAGCTGTGTACATTGAGCACCCACGGCATCCGGGCTGGGTTTTCTTTCTGCACTCCTTATCAGTTCATTTATCTTGTCAAGCTGTGTACATTGAGCACCCACGGCATCCGGGCTGGGGTTTAGGGGTTCAGTGTTGGAAGTGTACACTAGGGTGCATGTCTGGATCTGACTAAATGAGTGTGCCCACGGGGATGGAAGCAACCGTGTGTGTTTGAGTGTGCCTGTGAGGGCCTGCCTTGTGCCCCAGTCTGCTGACCCTTTGTGCGCCTGGCCCAGGCCCTGGCCTGGCCTTTGTCGTCTACCCACAGGCCATGACCATGCTGCCTCTGTCGCCCTTCTGGTCCTTCCTTTTCTTCTTTATGCTCCTGACTCTGGGCTTGGATAGTCAGGTGAGCCTGGTCTGTGCCAGCAGGCACCTTGTGGGGGGTGTGTCCATTTGAGTGTGTGTGTTCGTCCACGTGGGATGTACATCTGTGTATCTGTGTATGTAGCTGTGTGTGTGATGTAGCTGTGTGTGTCTGTGTGATGTGTGTATCTCTGTGTGAGTGTGTGTGTCCATGCACGTGTGTACAGGTGTGTGGTGGGGTCCGAATTCTGACCTTCCCCCTCCTACCCTCCTCCAGTTTGCCTTCCTGGAGACCATTGTGACAGCTGTGACAGATGAGTTCCCGTACTACCTGCGGCCCAAGAAGGTTGTGTTCTCGGGGCTCATCTGCGTGGCCATGTACCTGATGGGGTTGGTCCTCACCACCGATGTGAGTGCTGCTGTGAGGAGGGAGGGCAGCCCGTGGGTGGGGTGGTGCGGGTATGGGTGGAGGCAAGGCCAGGAGGCTGGGGTGGGGGCAGGTGACTCTGCCCTGGGGCTCCCTGCTGCTGCTTTGGGAGGCCACCCAGGCCCACTCCCCAAGGACAGCGTGGCCTATGGCCCGGGGTCCTGGCTTCAAAGTACAGAGAAGACCCAGCTTCCAGCCTGGGTCCTACACTTGCTGGATGACCTCAGGACAAGAGGCTTCACCTTCTTCAGCCTGCGTTCCCACCAATAAAATGGGCTCTACATCTAGGGTTATTGTGAAGCTCCTGTAAGATGGTGTGTGGGAAGGGCTCAGCCTAGGCAGTGGTCACATGGCCACCGTCTTGCCATCACCGCTGGCCGGGCTGCTCCCCGCCATGAAAAGGGTCTGCACCAGGGAGCGAGGCTGGGCTGAAGGAAGCCCACAGCTGTGACTTGTGTTCTAGGGAGGCATGTACTGGCTGGTGCTTCTGGATGACTACAGCGCCAGCTTCGGGCTCATGGTGGTGGTGATCACCACATGCCTGGCCGTCACCCGGGTGTATGGTGAGAGGCGCTGAGGGAGAGGGGATTGAGGTCCCCACGGTGGGAGGCTGGGAGTCTGCTCTGGAGCCCCCCTACACTGGGTCCCAGGTCCCAAGGGCCAGGGTCTCCCATGGGGGCAGCGGGGGTGGAGGGGGAGGGGCCGCTGGTGCTGGTGGGGGATGCTGGTGGGGCCATCCTCCTCCCCCCTCCCCCGCACAGGCATCCAGAGGTTCTGCCGGGATATCCACATGATGCTGGGCTTCAAGCCGGGCCTCTACTTCAGGGCCTGCTGGCTGTTCCTGTCCCCGGCCACGCTCCTGGTAACCGGGGGGAAGGAGGGCTGGGGCCCAGAGCTGAAAGGAGGGGCCCCCTCTGGACATTCAGTCCAGCAGGGCTGCCCTGGCCCAGAGCGGACCTCTGTCAGGGCTGAGGGGTAGGTGGGCACCAGGATGTGGGTGTACTCCCCTCCGCCTCAATGTCCCCAGCTTTTGGAGCCATGCTGGGTCTAGCCTCCCATGCAGCTAGCCAAATGAGTGGGGCTTTCCCAGGCCTCAGGGCCTTTCCTCAGGGCCCTTCCGGCTGGGGCGTTAGGCTGGTATGTTGGTGAGTTGGAGTCCAGGCCCAGGCTGTCTTAGAAACTGGGTGCTTCCAAGCTGGGCTGTCTCAGGCCTCACAAAGGCCCGGAGGAGGGACCGTCTCAGGTTCTATACAGCTTAGGATGGGGTTCTCTTCAACACCGGGTGGCTCTGGGCTGGGCTGTCCCAGGCCTTCAGGTAGCTCAGACCTGGGCTGCCCTAAGCCCTGGGGCCTGCCCAAAGCCCACCGTGATGCTGGGGCCCCTGTCTGCAGGCCCTGTTGGTGTACAGCATCGTCAAGTACCAGCCCTCGGAGTACGGCAGCTACCGGTTCCCAGCCTGGGCGGAGCTGCTGGGCATCCTGATGGGTCTGCTGTCCTGCCTCATGATCCCAGCCGGCATGCTGGTGGCCGTGCTTCGGGAGGAGGGATCGCTCTGGGAGGTAAGTCTGGGCTGCCTTGTCTGCCCCAAGCCCACCTGCCAGGACAGAAGACATCTGCCGCAGCACCTTGCCCAGGGCCTCACAGGCCTTTCCAGACAGTAGCCTGAGCTCTGAATCCTCTCAGACCTGCTGGGGGTAAGGCAGGCTCAGGGGGCTTAGGGTCTGGCCCTGTGGTCTCTGGCACCACATGGGTCTCTGACGGGGGGATGTCCCACTGCCCACATGCCATAGGGAGAGGACAAGTGTCCCACCGTAAGTTGGTCAGGGGTCCAGACTGGAACTCTGGTCACCAGCCCAGAGCTTCCCCTGACTCAGGGTCAGAAGACAGGACTGAGGGACCCTAGAGAGTGGGCTGCAGCCCGTGGGTGACCTGGGAATGGGCTGATGGTGGGAGCCCTGCCAACGCCAGGCTTTGTGAAGAGATCCAGGAAGCACAGAGAATGCAAGCTGTTTGGGCATGGGGGTCTGCGGCCTCAGAAGAGGGGAGTGGGTGTGCAGTGATGCCGTGTGACCATGGCAATGTTCTACCCCTCTCTGAGTCTCCCCACACTCTGTCCTTCTAAGGCTATGGAATGTGGAGCCCCTTTGGTGGGGAGAGGCTGTCACAGTGAGCAGAGCTGAGTGAGCCTGCTAGGGCCTGGAGAGAGCCTTGGGATCCCCATACATACCCCACATATCCCATCAGGTGTATGGTAGAGCCAGCTGGTACTGGTTCATGAGAGCTAATTGTTATATATTTAGGGATGTTGTGAGCTGGTTGTTAACTCATGGATAACTTGACATCGACCTCGGTGGGAATATTTATACTACTGGAACTGGCTACATATCAAGCCTCCTGCACCCCTCCAACCACTGCCCCCACTCCACAGACAGTGCCACTGTGTCCTCAGCTGTCCCTCACCCCACCTTCATATCTGCACCTGGAAGGAGGCTCCGAGTCCGTCCCCAGCACAAGTGGATCGTGGCCACAGCGCCCAGACCGCAGGGCAGTCCTGGACCCAGGCCCTGCTCTGGATCCAGCTGCTGGGGAATGGGGAGCAAACCCCCAGCCTTCTCTCAACGTTGGGGGGCCCCACCTGTGCTGCCAAGGGCAACGTGTCTCCTTGCTTGAGAGCCGAGGTGTCTGCAAATGAAAGGAAGAGAGGGGTGTTGCTCAGGATAGAGGGCTCCAGTCCCCTGGAAGTTCATGGTTCCCAAACCTTGCTATGCTTCCCTCTTGCCCTATCGCTACAGCCACCAACAGCCAGGCCTAGGGCCATGTTGCTGGGTGGGGAGCACTGCAGGAGGAGTCCTTGACGGGCCCTGGAGTACCATCTTCAGAGACCGGGGCTTCCGGCACTGTCACATTAGGAGGAATCCGGGCTCTGCCTTTTTGCCAGCTGTGTGACCCTAAGCGAGTTAATGCCCCTCTCTGAACCTTGCTTTTCTCTGTCCTTCAAGTGAGGACAAAGACTCCTCCCTTGAGGGTTGCTCTGAGAAGAAAAGAAGGTTATCCATGTTGTCAGAACTGTGAAGAGCAGGTAAAGCAGAGTATTTTAAAAGTTTAGGATGGAGTCAGACTGCCCAGGTTCAAATAGCATCACTACTTGTCACCCGTGTGACCTTGGCCAAGTTGGCTCACCTCGCTGAACTTTGCTTCCAGATAATATCTGTGGGGGTGGAGGGTGAAAGTCCTAATGGCCCTCTCATGGGGACACCAAGGACTCAAGAAGACCACACAGCCTAGAGCTGGAGCACGGGGAATGTTGTGTTCCACTTCGGGGATCCTCATGGGGGTGATTCTGCTCTCAGAGGCCATTTGGTAGTGTCTGGAGGCATTTTGCTTGTCATAAGAGCATCGTGTGCACAGGGGATGATACCGACTTCCAGTGGGAAGAGAGCAGGGATGCTGTCAAACTCTCCTCGGTGTGCAGAAAGCTCTTACATGGCGACTCTACAGCCAAAATATTCCGAGTACTCAGGTCGGGCAGCGTCAGTCTAGGTTCTAGTGTTTAGCTGGGAACAAATCTAAGTGCTTGTTCTCAAGGAGCTTGAATTTTAATGTGGGAGACAGACAATAAACAAATACATAAAGGTAGTAGTAAGTGCTACATTTAAAAAATAATAATAATAAAAAAAAAACCAACCCTGAAACAAAAGCAAAGTTTAGGACTAGAGAGTGAAGGGAAAATATTTTGAGCAGGGTGGCCAGGAAGACCTTGGTGAGGGGGTGACAGAATCTGACTGAAACCCACAAGGTGATCAATAGATATCTAAGGGGAGAGCATTCCAAGCAGAAGGACAATCAGTGCAAAGGTCCTGAGGCAGGAGGGGATGGCATGTCTGAAGGCAGCAAGGAGGCTGGCAAGACTAGATCAGAGTGGGGGTGGGTGGAGGGAGAGTAGCAGGAGCTGAGGTCAGGGAGGTAGATGAGCAGGTAGGCTGTGGTGGGCAATTTGGGTCTTATTCCAAGGGCAAAGATAAGCCATAGGCAGGTTTCTGGGCAGGGGGTACGATGCTCTACAACAGTTCAGTAAGTGTCCCCAGGCTTTGAGTGTGGGGCCATGCTGAGCCCCGGGCTAAGGGCTCTGTGCACATTATCCTCCTTGAATCTACACCCAGTAGGCTCCACTTAATGTTGGTCATCTATCCTCCTTCAAGGGTCTGGGCCTCTTCTCTGTGCAGGCCGGGCAGAGGACTTTGGGAATGTGTTTTGAGAGGGGAGGAACTCTAGAATGTCCAGACTTAGTCATTATCTTAGTCACCTCTCTCCTTCCATGGAAACTGGGGCTGCAGAGGGAAAGGTCAGACAATCAGAGTCAGGACGAAGCAAGTGGGAAACACTTGGAGGGTCAGTGACACTCCCTGCCTCAGTGCTCCCGGCTCCTGGTTCTTTTCCAAAGCTCCCAGCTGTTTAGGACTCAGCATTTAGGGGAAGGGACCAAGAGTGGGCTCCTGGATTGGCTGGCATGTAATTGTAGCCTGTCCCCAGCACCCCTGCTAAGTGCTCCATCTCAGTGCCTGCTGACAGGGTTCAGAGTGGCAGGAGTGGCAGGGTCCCCAAGTGACAGAGGAGGAAACCAAGCACCAAAAGCTTAAATCCCATGTCCCCACCCAGCTTGTGATTGGCCAAGTGGGACTTACTCCCCTGGGGAAGTGCCACCGCCCTTGCCCTCCGCCCCACCAGGATTGTTGCCAGGGCTGACACCGGGGATACGGTGAGGTCTTTGCCCGGTGCCCAGCTGCAGGAAGCACTCCACAAGCACCAGTCGCCCACCGTTTTCACCGCTGTCCTTGTTCTGCCACAGAGGCTCCAGCAGGCCAGCCGACCAGCCATGGACTGGGGCCCATCGCTGGAGGAGAACCGGACTGGCATGTATGTGGCCACGCTAGCGGGGAGCCAGTCACCAAAGCCACTGATGGTGCACATGCGCAAATACGGGGGCATCACCAGTTTTGAGAACACGGCCATCGAGGTGGACCGCGAGATCGCCGAAGAGGAATCTATGATGTGAGACAGGAGGCTGGTGGCCTGGAGGTCCTGCCCAGCTGCGGAGGGGTAGCCCTGCCCTGTGGGGTCCCGAGAGGCCCAAGGCCGTGGGCGGTCGCCACAGTGATGCCGGTCCCCAGGGCTAGTCCTTTCTCGTGGCCTCTGCCTCTCCTCTGCCTCCTTTCTCCCCACACGCACACAGACCCGCTCAAAGCTCAGTCCTCGTTGTGCAGATGGATAAACTGAGGCCAGGGAGGAGGGACCTGACCAAGGTCACTTGGCGGAGGGCGCTGGACCCCAGACCTCCTGGCCAACCAGTTCCCTTTCTTACGTGGCAGCTGGCGTCATTCTCTCCTCTGTTCAGGGCCCAGACTCCTCTCTTTTCTAGGGGAGCCTGCCCCCCATATACTTCAAACAGCCAGAATCTTGAGCTGGGCAGGGAAGCTCAGGGTGTGGCAAGGCCCACAAGGCCCCAGGCCTCGAGGCTTAGCAAGTGAAGGGGGACAAAAACCCCATGTGCTCCTGTGCCTAGGCCAAGTTTCCTGGAAGAGGCGGGGTCTGAGGGCCCTGGAGGATGGGCAAGTTGGGAGGGAGAGAGGAAGAGGAGGGCAGGGTGTGGAGGCCCCCATGTATCCCTTAGAGTCCAGGGCTGAGCCCGCGATGTTACTAGGCTACAGCAGGGGCCAGGCGGGAAGGACAAAGGAGGGCCAGGGGAGCATGGGACAAGGGGCGGGCCGGGGTTTGCATGATCTGGTTGTGCTTTAGATAGACTAGCTTTCAGGATCAGTGTGCAGGGTGGATTAGAGGGGACAGGGTGGAGGTGGGAGGCCTTTGGAGGGCAGGCAAGGGGGGCTGGTGGCCCGAGTGAGGTGGTGGAGGTGAGGAAAGGAGGAGGTCTCCACATTTTCCACCCCCAAGAGAAACTAATGTATTTTATTTTGACCGCACACTTCTGAGAAGGGCCCACAACTTCTCTCACTGGACTTTGTGCCCTCCCATGTCAGGAGCCATGGGCATGATTAGGACAGAGCAAACAGGTGGAGAGGTGGAAGTGAGGGCCTCTAGCGGGACCTGAGGCCCCTCTGTTCCCTTCTCCCTGTTCTGGTGGCCCTCACTGTCCCCTCCAGCTCCAGGCACTGCTGGGAAACTGACCTTGGCTGTGGGCCACCAAGGCAACCAAGAGGCTTGGAGGTAGTCTGTACACGTGGCTGTCCTGATGCAGCCCCCTCTGGGCCCAGGCATGAGGGTGGAGGCAGAGAACCAAGGGCAGCCAACAGCTCAGGCCTGTGGCCAGAGGCCTCGGCGTCTTCGGTCCCAAGCACAAGGGGGGCTGCCCTGGGATCCGTCCTTCCCTGAGAGACGAGGGTGGAGTGTGAAAGTGTGCCCCAGCGTGACAGGCTACCCTCATGCAGCTGGGCTGGGCTGCATGCCCTCTTTCTCTCCTGCCGTCCCCTCAACCCACCCATGTCCTATTGGTTTATTGTTAATAAACACCAATGAGGTCATCCTTCTTACCCCTTCTCCTTACTGCTGAGAACCAGGGGGTGGACAATGCAGGGGTTTCCAGCTTCCATTGGACAGACGAGGAAACAGGCTCAACTGTTTGCTTTCCTGGCTCTCCCAGCTTCTGACACTTGCTGTCCCGTTTCTCTGTGGCAGTGGTGGGGGTGGTGGGGTTGAGGAAGGGTGGCGAAGACAAGGAAGCCACTTCGCCTCCATTATATGTATGGGCAAACTGAGGCCCTCCAAAGGGAAGACTTGCTCGAGGGTACCCAGCGGAGGCAGGCACACCTGGGCAGCTGGCCCTCCCCTTCCTGGCTCCAGCTGCTCTCCGGCCTTACCGGCAGGTGTAGCTGAGGCTGGAAGCCTGGGGTTGGGAGAAACCCTGAGTTTCCCAGGCTGGAAGAATTTCCTGGTGCTACCCACCCCCTCCTGGCAGGACCTGGCCACATAAAAGAGCCCCAGGGCCTTTCAAATGCGAGGCCCAGGTGTTTGTGAAGGCTTTGATGGGGGATTGGAGAGGAAGGGCTGCTGCATCTTTTAGATATTAATAAATTTCCCCTAACAAAAGGCCAGGCCCCCTCCTGCCCCTCTTTGTTTGGGGCTCTAGATGGAGGAAGAGCATGGGATTGCTAATTTGCTGTAGGCTCAGGAATGGCCTTCACAATTCAAGGTGCCTCTTCCCACACCCTGGGGGCAGGCTCCAGCCTTGCTCACAGAGCCCCTGGCGCCAGCTCCATGGTACCGAAAGGGGTGGGGGGGGGGTAGGGGGAGCCCTCTCCAAGCCCTCCCCGCTCCTTCTAGGACAGGTCCCAGGCCCCAGCCATGGTCCTGTGCAGACTCCTTGCCCAAGCTCTTGGCTGCAGCCTGGGGTCCTGGGCATCCAGAATGGGTGATCCTAGAAGTCTGGCCTTCTCTTCAGCCAGATTCCCAGTTGGCCATTGCAGGCCTCTAGGAGCCTAGGGAGCCCACCAGCTTCACCTCCCCACCCCACCCCCCACTTCCCCTGCCTTGTTGCCTCTGGCTACCCTTGCACTCGCTCACTGCCCTGGCCCCCGGGGCCTGAGATTCCTGGTCTGTCCTCCCTGGGCCCCATCTTCCCATCTGTCCTGCTTTTCCCATTCCTGCTACTCCCAGACAGGCTGTCCTGCCACCTCACCCTTCTCCCACCTCTGCCACCTCCCAACAACCCCTGCCCCTCCCTTTATTGACCTCAGGTGGCCCTGGCTCAGAGCAGACCCCAGCCAGGCCTGACTGGCAGTGGGAGCAGATCAGAGGAACCCATGGACGCATGGTGGACAGTCCACGGAAGATCTCAGCCCTGTTTGGAGTAGAACCCTAGCCTGGAATGCTAGAATGGCCTAGCAGGTGACAAGCCCAGTGCCTGCAGAACCAGGCTGAGCGGCCAGGTGAGCGAAGCCGTAGGTGTGAGCAGGAGAGCAGGTGGTGACTGGTCCCCAGAGAGGGTGGCCGTGATGAGTCAGTGGTGGGGACCTGGCGCACGAGAGAAGAAAGCCTGCCTCTCTTCCGGGGAGGCTGCCCCTACAAGCATGGACCCAGGTTGCCAGATAGCCCAGTTTTTTAAGAGAAGTTGGAAGTTTGGATTTCTGTGAGAAATGTCTCATTTTTCTGGCTCTGCAGAGACTGGGGATTAGCAGGGCTGTGGGCCGTGGTGACAACATATGGGAGCTGGGGCCAGGCCCGGGGTCCCCACTCCTAATCAGTGTTTTGCTCTCCTTCTCAGCTGATCTCTGTGTCCGTGGCCCCCTGACCTGGGGAGACTCAGGGCGGGTGGAGGGGCAGTGAAGGGCTGGAAGGCAGCATCTGTGCCTGGCTCAGGTGTGGAGAGAGTGTCCTGGGGCCCTTCATTCCTCTTCTAGGAATGTTCTAGGACTCATGAGAGATGGTGTGCTCTTGGGGATCCCTGGGAAGCCCTGAGCACAGGGCAGTCCCTTCTAGCCTATGATCCGTGAGAGCAAATATCTGGGCGGCCGAAGGTGGAAGGGGAGCAGGAGAGGGCAGGGGAGAGGGCCCCACACCATTAGGGTCAGCCATATTCCCAAGGTCAAGTCAGGTCAACAGCACCAGGGTCACACAGTCACCTGTGTTTGGTTCTCAGTAGGCCCTGCCCCCTGTGTTCCCTTCTACCACCCCAGCCAAGTTCACCTTTTGTGGTGCCCTGAGCAGGCCCAGGCTTCCTGTTCCAGTGTCTTCCCCATTCATCCCTGGGACCCCGAGCCATCCTTTTAGGTCTGTCCTCCACATGCCCTCCATTCCCCATCAGGTGTGGGCTCCTGGAGTGTTCAGGGAGCCTGACTTAGCCTTGGAGAGCCATGACAGCCCAGAGACAACCCCCTTCATCTCTGTGCAGTTAAGACACTTATAGCGCTCCCCCCAGACCCCTGGCCCCTGGGACCATGGCAGGGCATCAAGGAGGGGGCTCAGACCACTCAGCCACGCAGGCCTGGCTCCATTCCCAGCTCTGCCTCTCCCTGGCTGTGTGGCCCTGGGGACCCACAGCGCCTGCTCACCACTATGCCCAACACAGCAGCAACTGAAAGCAGTGTGAGGGTGGCTCTAGCGACAGCCAGCAAAGAGTTAAGACAGCCCGGCCCCTCTGAATTTCATGTGACCTTGGGTTGCTGAGCCTACGGTTTTGCGGTGGACACTCTTCTCCAGACTCATTTTTTGCCGGTGGCTCATGGAAAGTTTGGCTCCTTGAGCTCCAGGCCACTCCCTCTGGGGCCTGAGGCCTTGTTGACGCTGGTCCTACCCTGGAAGGGTGTCCAGGGCTGCCTGCCCGCCTGTGGATCCTTGGCCAGCACTCCACCCGCTGTCCCCCTCCCCACCCCACTTCTGTCTCCGCCTGACTTCCCCCAGCCTGACCTTCTGCCCCAGGACAGGGTAGCAGTCCACCCCCCTTGGCCATGCTGAGGCCTCCTCCCAGTGCCCCATCCAGGATTGCTTTCTATTTGAGGGAAAGAAAGCCTCTGCCCCTGATGTCCATGGCATCTGCGAGCAGCCTCCCTTTGAGAACAAGAGCCAACCAGAGCCAAGGCAAGCTTGGACTCTGCTTGTCAGAACAGAGCTGGATCTGCTGCTTCACCTCTGACCCCCAGCATCCTCAGAAAGGAAGATGTGGACAATGGCTTTCCCCACTTCGGGGAATAAAGTGGGATAATACAGGTGCTCAGTGCATAGTTTAAAAAAAAAAAAAAATCAGCGCGTAGTGCAAACCGTGGCAGGTAGAAGCCCTGTAATGGGATGGTTCTCACAAGCCTCCTGTCCCTTGTGCAGATCAAGAAACTGAGGCCCAGCTCCTGCCTCCAACCAGTAAAGGGAGAAGGAGGGCGGGGAGGGGTGCACTCAGAGCCAGGGTCAGGCAATGACGGCAGGCAGAGGATGAGCTGGCACCTTCCCGTTCCATGGCAGAGTGCCTTGGAGGCGGGGCCTTGGTGTCCCCATCTGTAAAATGGATGGGTTGGAGAGCCACAGAGGGGAACAGTGTCCATTCCTCAAAGCTGGGTTCTGGGATTGGCCCCTCTTGCTGGATGGAGTTAATGATTAAGGGCTCTAATGGCTTCTGTGATGGACGGGGAGCTCCTGCCAAGGCCGCAGGAGGTGATGAAATGTAGGAGTAGGGCAGCCCTAAAATCCTCCAGGCCCCGAGGCTGGCTTTGACCCTGACTCTACTGACCCAAGGTCAGGGTCTCACAGAGTTTTAGGAATTGGGATGGCAGGAGGCAGGGGCAAGGGAGGGGCCGATGGTCAATATTGATCTAGCTGCGTCAGGGGGGTGGATGGGGAAGCGGGAAGCCTGGGGTGGGGCTCACTGATAACTGGTCTTCCAGCTCCCAGTGTGGCTGTGGGAACTGGGAATGGGGTGCTTGGTGCAGAATTCCCGAACTGACTGCTTACTGAAACTACAGCTGCCTGGAGGCCTGCCCAGTCTTCCTGCATCCTGTCCCCTGAGGGTAGGGTCTAAACATCTGTATTTTTAGCCTATTCCCTGGGGGATTCTGTAGCAGCCAGCACAGTTCCCGTATTGGGGAACCACAGGTTCAACCCCCTTGTTGTAACGTGAAAAATCTGAGGTCTCGAGAGGGAAAGGAACTCACTCAAGGTCACACCGGGAGAGA